TGGTATTTCCTTGTGCTCCTTTCATGTCTCTCGCGTCTCTCTCTATCTCTCCGCAACGCTGTACCATTTGCTTTCTCTGATATCAAATCCATCTGGCTGGTATTTAATTTTTTATACTGGTGGATGCTAGTCTGTATATATATATATATATACTACCAATAAATCTTAACAGTAACACTCACCACAATTCTCTGTCTGTCTGGATTCAACACAGAACTTGGCACCGAAGTGCACCAGTTCGAGTTGCCACCTTCCAAATACCACACAAAGGTAGACAAGAAGATGAGTGAAGAGAATCAAAAGAGTTTGACAGGTATCAGAGTGAAACAGAATGGGTAATGGTAGAAAGAAATATGAAAGATTACAGAGACTGAATACATCTGCGCTGGCCATTGACAACGATTTTGAGCCATGTCACCTATTGTCTCCAGCCATTGATTCCTAGAGTCCCGAGGGCCCCAACCCGGAAGTCTGTATCTCCACCCTACCTGACTCAGTTTAACTGTCAAGGATTTCATGGATTGATGATGCCATGTTTTTGTTTGGCCACCACTTACTCTTTTCCAACCTGCACCACCTATATCAGCTAGTAATGCCCGTCGGGGGAGGCGATGGTTGGGCATGTGCAGCACCTGACCTAGCCATCTCAATGTATGTAACTTTATAGCCTCGTCGATTGATTTTTCCTGTTTGCCCAACACTCTACGCCTAACGTCAACATTACTTATCTTATTAAACCACCTAACGTGAGACAGAGATCGCAGACATCTATGATCGAAAGCAGTCAACCTTTTCATGTCTTCAACGCGTATTGGCCATGTTTCAGAGCCATAGAGAAGGACGGAGCGAAGCGCTGAGCAGTACACACGTCCCTTGGTTGATGGCCGGATGTCACGCCTACGCCAGAGATGGTGTAAGTCAGCGAAAGCAGCTCGAGCTTTTTGGATCCGTGCTGAGATTTCGTCGCCAATCAGTCCTTTGGTGCTGATACAACTTCCCAAATAGGTGAAGTGGTCAACATGTTCTATCACTTCACTCCCTATCACTAAGCTAGGAGTTGACGTAGTCCAGTCCTGTAGCAGCATCTTACATTTCACAAGGGCGAATGGCATGCCAAACATACGAAGATTGCTGGTCAAGGTGTTCAGAAGACTCTGCATTTTGTCAGAATCCTCCTCTAACAGGACTATGTCATCTGCATATTCTAAGTTCATAAGACTATTCCCTGGTAACAAGTCGATTCCTAAGTCGTTACGTTCAGTTAAGGATACTTCCATTAGCATTTCTATGATGAAGTTAAACAGAAATGGGGAAAGTGGACATCCCTGTCGGACACCACTGGTTGTTACCACTTCAGATGACAATTCCCCATAAGCCCTTACACGACTACGTGAGTTTGAATAGAGTGCCTTGATTAGTGCAATGTACTTTCTTGGCACTCCCTTCACAGTCAGACATTGCCATAGTACCTTTCGATCCACGGAGTCGAAGGCCGCCTTCAAGTCAAGAAATATGGCAATTGTTGGATGCCGAAAAGTGTGTCTATGTTCTAGAATCTGTTGAAGAGTAAAGATATGGTCTGTACACCCTCTACCTGGTCTAAAGCCTTCTTGATTTTCCCTCGTCTGTTCCTCCCGAGTTCTGCTTAGTCTGTGCATGATTACTGAGCCTAGGATTTTAGAGACTATGTTCGTTAGGCTGATCCCCCTATGATTATCACACGAGGACTTGTTTCCCTTCGTGAATATCGGTATAATAAGTGACTTACCCCAGTCTGATGGAACCGTCTCTGATTCCCAGACGTTGCCTAGTAACTTAGTTAATCTACATACTAGTATGTCACCCCAATATTTAAACACCTCCGGAATAATTCCGTCAGGTCCCGCCGCTCTGCCTCGTTTCAAATTACAGACAACTTTTGTAACCTCAATAATATCATCAGAATACCCAAGTTTTACATATATATATATATATATATATATATATATATATATATTCAGATTAACATTCTGATTTTGTTTACGATAGTAAATATTGTAATTTTTTGAAAGTAATCGGAAAATATTGTAACATACTACTTAATACTACTTACAAGTTGGCTTAGACATTCAGAATTACGAACTGATTGTTGATGGAAAGTCTGAACAGACACCAACAACAACAACAACAACAACATCAACAACGACATCAACAAACCATACTGTTTACTTTTAATACACTCCTGAAGAAAGATACACCTTCGCACACACACACACATACACAAACTCACGAAGACACACACACATACACACATATATACAAACGTATTTCATCAGTTCACAGGATGAAAAACACAAAAATTAGGAAAGAACAGTCTCTTATTCAGAGAAGTTTATTGAAGTTATTGAAAATAGACATTAATCGATTGGTATTCATCTTATGTGTTTACAGTTTTATGTTTGTTTGTTTGTTTGTTTATTTGTTTACGTGTACGTGTATGTGTGTTTGTGGGTGTGTGTGGGTGTCTATGATTTGTTTACGTACGTAATAGAAATAATTATGTTTAATTAATTAATTAATTAGCTTGTTGGGATAAATAGTTATTTATGCTTGGTTAATTTTATTCCCTTTGGCTTTCAAGAGGAATATATAGGGCTACAAGCTGGTGAACTTTGAAATTTCGGTAACACTAGTGTTATTCTTATCTGTGGGGGTAGGGCTGCCAACCTCAGCTAGCCAAACCTTCCTTCTTTATTGGGTTTACTCCTTGCCTACTATCATCAACGATGGGCTGGGTTATGCGGCACCCTATGTGTGTGTGTGTGGGGGGGGGGGAACGAGAAGATAGGAGTATATTGGACCGATAAGTAAGACTCTAGAAGTTCTGGATTTCTCAGATAATTTATGTCTGATATCACATATCCTTGAATATGTACTGGTGGAACTCAACAAATTGACAAAAAAGACAAAACAGGGAAGAGAAGACTTTAAGTGAACATAGAAAAGTAGGATGTGATGTGAATAACCAGGCAACCAGTTAACAGTAACAAAAACCACAAACCAGTCATCATCAGCCGAAATAATTTGAAAGAGGTAACATCCATCACCTATCTAGGAAGCATTGTTTTGACCACAGGCAGTTGGAACGGAGGAAGGTGTTAAAAGCAGAATCAGAAAGGCGTAGAGACCTTCATCAGTCTCAAAAATCAGTCTAAAAATCTCAGACTGGACTCAGTAAAAACAACGAGATTCTTATCTTCGACACTTATATCAACTCACTGCTTCTGTATGGTTAAGAGACCTGGCTGATCACCAACATACTTCAAACTTTCACAATCATCCGTCTTCTCTGGATACGGAAAATCTTGTGGCTGGCTATAAAGGAGTACTGTGGTGAAAGCTGGCCGCCAGCCAAATCGGTAGACAGTAATTTACGTCAATGTTTATGTCCCTAAAACTGGTCGTGAGAAAAATAAGAATAAAGACTGATTCAACAACCAATCACAATAGACTATGCGTTGGAGGATAAAATTTGCAGACAGATGATCTGACATTCATGAAACAGTCACAAAGAGATGAACGATTAATGCTCAGTGAGAAACCACCAATCAGAAGACTGTGTATGTTTTTCTGCTAACAATAATCTATAATAATGTACATGAAAATCTCTAAATATGTGTTGATTTAGTAAAAAAACGATCTGTTGCCTTGCCGTTGTCTTATGTTTTTACACTACTACTATAAAACTATGACAACGAACCAACCAAGAAACTATTACCCAACAAATATGACTAAGGGAAATTGGAGATGGATTGGACACACTCTGAGAGAACAGTTGAGTGATGTCATGCGCATGAGTGGAAACCCAATTGGGAAACGACAAGTTAGGCGTTATTCCGAGAGTTACACAGAGGAGGAGAAAACAGTCTATGAGTAATCTTTTAGTCAATTAAAAAGAGGATCGACCATAACAGGATAAAAAGGGAGACTTATATATGCTGAAGCCTAATCTTCAACTCTGAACCTAAGAGAATAATAATAATAAACAAAGAGCTCTCCAGTACTTCCAGATTTTCCAATGGTTCTCTAACTGATGTCAGCTCATGATGAAATCCTGTAACCAATCAACCAAATCCTTAAAAACCAATACTTGAATACCAATGAGATGCTCATTGGGGACTGGCCCTATTCAGGTAGGTAGTTACCTAGGGTCCCAGTGGGAAGTCGTGACCAGTAGGGTGCAGCAGGTCGGGTATAAGGACAAATACTCGCCAGCGAAGACATTGGCAAGCGGTTGCGCTATATCGTGAATCGGTTTAAGTTAGAATTCATGGGCTGGCCATTGGATCGGGTCCCAATGGCTTAATGGTATACGAGCTCGCCATGTAACCAGAAGGTCCTGAGTTCGAGTCCCGGTGTGTAAGTACTGCTGAAGAGTCCCAAACTAGGACGAAACAGTTGTCCAGTACTCCTAGGTTTCCAATGGTTCATAATGAAATCCTGTAATCAATCAACCGAATCCCTACAAACCAATACTTGAATACAAAAGCGATAATAATTGGAAGCCATCGGCGGGAAGTCATGGATTTCTTGCTTATTAGCATTTTAATGAATATCGAGGGAACTGTTGTCCCTATCTAAGATTTTAGAGGCGTTTCTTGTTGTTCTTCAGAGTCAGAAGTCATTGATTTTTGCGTGGGATGTAAGCGGTGTTTTTAACTGGTCTATACTTCTAGGAAACATCAATAAACGCATCATATACAAGCAAACAAACAAACATCGATATACACACATAAGATTGTACAAATCTGGAAAAAAGCCAACAACAACAACAACCAAGAATTCCTTTTGGTTTTCACACTAATCAACAACAATCAGATCAATGTCATTTGATGAACCTGTCAATAATAAGATCATGTTTAAGATATTGTCAACAGGATATATACATACATAAATATAAACTAATCTATACAACCCATATCCCTCTCCCTATCTATCTAGATAAAGGTTGATTCACTTACTTTCAATCCCATTTCTGTAGCTTTCACGCGTAAACACTTTTCCAATTCATCAGAATTTAATCCTTGTAATACGATAGGTGAAACACCTTGTGGACGATTCAATGGAAGTTTAGCCAGTGTCAGGAAACCATCTAGTTGATTTGAATGATGTTGAACTAATTCAACTGGACCAATAAATTTATGACCTGTAGAGAGAAAAACAAGAAAAAAGAAAAGACAGAAGTGTGAATGGAAATAGATGAGATTTTTCCGTTGGTTGATTTGAACAAAGTGCTTGGTCTCAGGTTGACATGTGTCAAGGACTCCTCCTTGTACAGATGCTTCGACAGTGCCTAGCCATGTAACTTTAAGTCAATTGGTGGATGGTGACCACAAGCAATGAAATCCAGACGGGATAACGCGCATTTCGTCCTTTCTAGGACTCGTCAGCCTACTCCATGTACCTGCATTCCCCAGTGAGTCAGTGATGGTGCTCCTCCTCCTACTGAGACTCGAACCCAGCGCCTATAGTTTCAAACACCACGACAGCCACCTCTTATGCAAGATGTCTTCATTTAAGATTTTCCCGTCGACTGATTGAACCAAAGTCGACCGGTCTCAGGTTGACATGTGTCGGCGGCTCTTTGTGCGGATGCTTCGATGATGTCTGTTGGGAACATTATCACTGAATCAATGGGGAATATAGGTATAGCCAGTTAGCTGAAGAGTCCTAAATAGGACGAAATGCACGTTATTCTGGCTGGATTCCACTTCTAGTCATTATCAACCAATTGATTTTAATGAGGAAATCTTACTAAAAGAAAGACTTATTGCATCATAACAAATTTTAGGTTACTTTCATAGCTTTGACGTGTATCTACAAAGCTTTCAGCGTTAACCGCTGGCTGTTATCTACCTTCAAGATGCATAGTAATACTAAAAGATATGTTTGTATACTCGTCAACATGCATTAACTGCTACTAAGAAGGATAGGATATCCTGTAGAGGATTCCAAGTCAATCTGATCACACACGGATTTGTCATGGAAATATGAATATAAGTGAAAATAATAAGTTAAGGGGTGAGAAAAGTTAAGTCAAGTTAAAAGGACGACATATTGAAGGTCGAAATAAGGATAAGGACCACTAAACCAAACAACAACAACAGAGGTAATAGTACACCTACTCTGACTGGTATCAAAACAAAGTTCACCGAAGAAGGCAGTTTAATGTGATGATGAATTGTTGCTTTGAACGCATAAAGCTTGTTTAAACTTTCTAACTGCCAGCTGGGGCTTCCAGGAAAACTTTAGGACACACCCCAAACATGTTTTAAAGATAGATTTAAAAGAGGCGTAAACGTCAATTTTATATCCTGTTTGCACAATACGTTTCGCAGTGAAGGAGCTGTGTATATGGGGACTCTATTTCTTTCTGAAGCTATTTAGGGATATGCTCTGAAGCCCTTACTTGCAAAGACCGGAGGAGTTCAAATGGAGATATACATTGGTCAGAACACAAAGACCCATTCTCTTACTTACGACTAAAACCGATGTATATATCAAGTTAGCCTGTATGGGTGATCATAACAGCTTGATAACTCGACAACCGTTGAACGCTGTAGTTAAAAAGACTTTTTTATGCGGTTAAAATCAGAATAATTGAGAATATGAAGCCAATATATCTATCTAAGCCTATCTAGAACATGCGGAAAAGCCTCCGTGTGGACACATATACATATAGAGGACTCATCAATCTCTGTGAGTAACAGCACTCAGAACATATTCCCAAATGGCTTCAGAAACAAATTTAATTTCCAGAACCCTTTTACAATGAGAACAGAGGACATAACTCCTCTATGACGAAATATATATTACAGAAACAGAACATAAAATTGCTAACACCAAAAAACCAACTGATCATGAATTCCGTAATTAATTTTCATATCCTCCTTTAAAAAAACTTGAATATCTTGTTTTCATGAAGTTTAATGACTTAATTTCGACCTTCCCCCTATGCCTAAAATTGATTTACTAAAATAACCACTAGATTGGTAATAATTTTGATGTAAAAAGCTATATATTTGTGTAAAGCCGATAACTGCTACCTTGTCGTGGTGGTCGGGCTTGAATATCGTAATGACCCAACATGCTAAACTGACTGGGACCTGTCCCTGCAGGTCCTACCATGTCAAGAAGGTTGTTTGGATAGCGGCGTGTGAACCTATAGGGGTCACCGGCAACCATGGGAATGCAGCTCCTGACGCCGCTCCGCTGCCTTGCGGATTAGACTCCAAGTCAAAGGTTCGGGTGGGGGTGATCCCTTAATAAAACCACCTTCTTCGGTCTGGGCGCTAGGGCAGTATCTCAGCCCTCACACAATGAATTGAATAAAGCAACAAACAATCAATGAAACTTGTCACGTGCTATTACACATGTTGCAATTTCCTTCTGTGCGTCGGTGGTACAGTGGTTAGGACTCTCTCCGACCATGGTCCGAGGTTTGAATCCCTGCCAACGCACACCTGATATCTATGGTAGGCCTGCGAAATTCGGGCTACCCATATCCATGCTGAAAATTCCATACTTGTACTAAAAATACTGTGTGGAATCAAGTTGTAATCAAAAATAAATAAAAATAAAATAATTGAAAATAGTTCATATTTCTTCGTTCGATTTGCTGCTTTTTCTAAGTGCATAAGTGGGAATTTGAAAATTACATAAAAATGACGTTTGCACGTCTTTTAAAGGCTTATCTATAAGGCGTGTTTGGGGTGCATCCTAAAGTTTGTGGAAGAACTAGCTGGCGATTAGAAAGTTCAAAACCACTTCTATGCCTTCAAATCAACAATTCATCATCATACTAAACCTTTCATGATTAATAGGTTCTTTTAACTTGACCTAAGTCTATTTTCTCACCTATTAACTCTTTATTATTTTCATATATATGTATATGTGCGCTGGTGGTATAGTGGTTAGGACGCTCGCCGACCACGCACATCATCCGGGGTTCCATCCTCGAACAAGGCACCAGTCTACCTCGCTAAGCCAGTAATAAAAAAGGCAGGTAAAAAGGATAGGTTAGCAACCCCACTCCTAACTAGCCTACAACTTCAAGCCTCTAGCTTGAAGTACTACGTTCCACTGAGGACGTGAAGAAATATATATATTTGATGGAGGATTTAAAATGAGCTGACACCAAGGTGGGTGCGACTTGTTGAAGACATCCAAACTAGGACGAAACAACCGTCTAGTACTCCCTGGCGGGTTTTCCAGTGGTTCTCTAACTAATGTCAGCTCATCATGAAATACTCCATCCAATCAAACAAAATCCTTACAAAACCCATACTTCATATATATATATATATATATTCCTAAAAGTCTGATTGATCAAATCGCCACACTACGGATCATCATTGAACAAAGCTTGGAATGGCAGTCACCTCTCCACCTCACTCAACTTCATTGACATTGAAAAGGCCTTCGATAGTGCAGCGTCGATCGAGAGGTGATTCGGCAACTACTTCGCTACTACCAAGGGGTTCCAGCGACAATTATACATCTCATCCAACAGTTAGTTGTACGACAATGCTGCATGACAAGTAGTCGACAACGGGAAATTTACGGAACCCTTCGAAGTGAGAACGAGAGTGAGGTAAGGCAGTCTACTACCGCCAATGATCTTCCTGATTGAAATAGATTCGACAATGCGACAGACCGGTGGCGGGCAATGAGAAAACAGGCATAAAATGGACTCATACAAAAAGAGTCGTGGAGGATCTGGACCTCACCCGTGGTGATATATGTCTGATTTCGCACAAAATGAAAGATATGCAAGTGAAAAGCAACAAGCTGGCGATACAAGAAGCATCAAAGATAGGACTCCCTTCAGGTGAACACTGAGAAAACAGAGGTAACTGATGAAGATTCCTGGCCAACAACAACAGACATTAATCAGCCAGCATAAATGGGAGGAACCTGAAAGAAACAACCTCCCTCACCTACCCACCTACCTGGGAAGCATCGTTTCAACTACAGGCGAACAGAACTGACGAGGATATCAAGGCAAGAATGGGGAAAGCAAGACAATTTTTTCATTGCTCTCACCAAGTCTGTGTGGAGGTCAACAGCACTCACCATCAAAAATAACATCCGGATTTTCAACTCCAATGTGAAGTCAGCCAGTGCTACCTACTATACGGATAGATCAGAGGCCTGGCCAGTGCGTCATAAAGAGCATCTCAAACAAACTACAGACCTTCATTAATAGTTGTCTTCGCTCAATACCACTCAAGATCAGATGGAGAGCTAGAAAAGATCAGCTACAGTGAGGGATCTCTTGCAATAAGCGAACCAACCCAGCAGGAATCGTTTGTGAAACAAATAGGCAGGAATAAATGGAGATGGATTGGCTGGCCATATTCTGAGGAAACCATAAAGTGACATATTATATTTTATTTTTCATTTTTTATTACATCTTGATTCCACACCGTATTTTTGGTACAGGTATGGAATTTTCAGCGTGGATATCGTTAGCCCAAATTTCGCAGGCCAACCACTGTGCCACCGACGCACACAAAGAGCCACCATGAACATAATTGCATGGTGGCTTACAAGAACTGACATCATTAGGCAAGCCATTGCTCGAGTGGAACCCGACAGAATGGGAAGCGGCGAGTTGGTCGTCAGTGTGAGGGTGACTTGGAGGAGTTGATGTGAAGAGGAGATGAAAGCATGTGGGCAGACCTGGAGCGGGGTGAAAAAGTTGGCAGAAAGCAGAAGACAATGGAGATGCGCAGCTGAAGCCCTATTTTCCTCTAAGAATTGAAGGATATAATAATAATAAGTCTGTGTGTGATCAGACTGTTCGAAATGTGTTGTGTAAATATGCAATACACGATTAAGACAAATTACATCTTCTTATTACTTTATAAATTATTTAAAATCAAAACAAGATTTTTTCCAACGTTTCGCTGTAAGTCACAGCTTCTTCAGTATAATTATTCGGATTTTAATAATCACCAAAATATCTAATCAAAAATCACATAACCTGAAAATCCGTAGCATCTACAGTCTGAAAACCTATATTCATATTACTTTATCTAAGTTGAATAATCCAGAGAACCATTTGTAAACCAACTGGGAGTACTGGACAGACAGCTGTTTCATTCTAGTTTGGACCTCTTCAGCAGTATGCACCTCCGCCAG